AAAAGGGAACAGAGCGCCACCTCCGTGTGTAAAATCGTTTATTACAATAAATAAAACAAGGGATAAAAGTACTCACAAACAAACGTTTTCATCAGGCTTTAACAACAAACCCCCTTTAACAAGCAAGCCCCCTTCCTCAGCCCCTGAAACGCGTCAATCTTGGCTGACTGCGGTCGGTGGACGGTGATGTGACCGGATACTACCGTGTTACATAGTCGGGGGGATACCATGTTGGGTCAACAGACAGTGTGGCCTCTCGTTTGTTGGTAAAGCCTGATGAAAACGTTTGTTTGTGAGTACTTTTATCCCTTGTTTTATTTATTGTAATAAACGATTTTACACACGGAGGTGGCGCTCTGTTCCCTTTTGTTTTCTATGTTCGTGGTGGAAGCCCCAGAGCCTTGGATGAGCAGCCCCTCAAGTCTGTGTAAAAAAACTGTGATAAACTGTTGAAAACTTTGAGTGAGCAACAGCAAGTGGATTGTCCAGCTGGCAGCCATTAGCGCCAAGAGCTAAAGAAAACTTTTTTTCTTACTGTTATGCTAGCATTTTAGTCAAAGTTTTTTTCCTCCCTACGTAAGGCAGAATGTAGGTTGAAGGAGAATAAAGGCCTCCTAAAGTAAGACGCATACAGTAAGTTTACTGTGAGCTTTACCAATTCATTATGTTAACATGCACAACTTATGTAAATGTTGCGTTAAACAATAAAGGCAAAATCATTTTTGAATTTATTATCTATTCCCAATAAAAACCAAGGACATACAAATATATGTATTCAAATTTGCTACCCAACTTAATCCCTATCTGTCCTAAAAAAAATGATGTATATGTTAGAACTATAAAACCTAAAAAATCTAACGTGTGAAACGCAGACATCATCAAAACTAAAAAAGAAATTGCTTTGGGGTTCAGGAAGAGAAAGGCCTGGGGACTCAAGTGGTTTACAAAAACAACAAAGCCGCTAACAGGTAAAAAGTGAAGGTGCCTATGGTCACAATGGCTGAATGCCAAGATGTTGTAAACGTGTAGCACTTCAGCACTTTGTAAAGATGTTGTGATGTAGATGTCCATCCCCACAAGTGCTTGCAAATACTTGCAGCTTCCATTGCCCTCTAGTATGCCTGAAGCCTGGCCTTTTCTGAACAAGTACAACTCCAATACTACTGAGTAATGTCATTGCTTTATAAATCTCTTCTGCAAAACAGCAGGGAGCTTTTAAAAGGCGAGTTCACTTTCCCACAAAATGTGAGAAAATGAACTTACTGACAGCACTCACCACCTCTCCCAGCCCCTGCTGTACATACCTGTGTGATCCCCTGCCAGTCACCGTAGGGTGCATACACAAAGTTCCACGATACGTAACATGATCAATTCTTGCAAATGGCGAGCTCTAACTGGTCAGCAGGATCACATGACCACACTGACTAATAAGAAGCACTTCTAAGCTGGGCACCAGGTCCTGGAAGTAAGAAGCACTACTCATTGGCCAGTGTGACCAATTGGCGCTCGCCATATGTGATCATTATGTTCATTACATACTGCAGGGGTGTGACCGCACACCAGCTGATGGGGACAACACAGGTATGTGCAGTGGAGGCCCGGAGAGGTGGCGGGTGGTGTTAATATGTTCATTTTCTTACATTCTGTGAGAGAGTAAACTTACCCTTTAGCTGTGCAGTTTCTGCCGCTTGTCTGTCCTCCTAGTCTAAAAGCTTGCTCAGTCTACAGAATTGTAACCTCCACTGCTTGCAATGGGTTTAATTTATAAAAAAATTACAGTATAGAAAAAGAAATAAATAGTCTCCTTACCTTTTTGGCTTGGCAATATTCTTTTTCCATCACTTTTCCAAGAACCCAGGGTCTTCTAGATGATCCAGAAGCTATAGCAAGACAAGTAGTAAAAAACAGATTTAGTTACTATAAAATAGCTTAATTCTGTACTCGGTCTATCTTGTGCTCAAATTACAACAACCATAGTTTTTCATTAAAACACACAGTCCTACCAAAACAGTTTTAGCTTTGAGCAGATGCTGGGAAACATCATTACCCACTGGCTCATTGTGCCCCCAGAACCTTTGGCATCAGTATATCACCATCTGCATTTACAGAAAAACTGACCTATCACAGCCATTTTGAGGTTATCTCCAGAGTAGACACTGCTTGGGTTGCCAAAGAACAAGAAGACCCATCAGAGATTCGACACTTAACTGTTTGGGTGGCAAACGTGCTGGTTCATCGGCACTGGATGCAACATGGCTGGAACTGCTGATGGCAAACAACAGCTTACACATGTGGGGAAGTGGCTGGCATAATATGATAGAAAGCTAAAGTAAAGTAATAAGAACTTTGCCAAGCAACATCCTGACAACTGTTGGTAAGCACACTAGGCCATCAACTATCATTAAATGAAGGCCTAAACAAGTTTCTTGCTTCAGAGTGGTAGTTAAATCTAAATTGTTAAATGTAAAAAGAGAACTGCAAATCATAGTTATATATAGAATCCAGGCAGTCTATATACAGTTAACTCCACATTATCTGGCATTCGAGCAACCAGCACGGACAAGAAAACATCAAGGATATTATGTCCTTGTTTTTTTTTTGCTTTTCCTTGATAAAAATGGGGAGACTAAATATTTTTGTTGCTAATGAAATTTTTTGTTTACATTTTGCGGTCGGCAACATAATGTAAATAATGGGTTTCAATAACCAGCCTGCTATTGGCTATTTCAAATTGCAATAGCCGGCTGGCTTTTGTGCCCAGCCACTGAGCAGAGGAACAGACCTGAGAGAGAACTTTCTCTCTCAGGTCCATTCCTTTGCTCAGTGGGTGGGATTTCAATAGCCAGCCTGCTATTGGCTATTGCCATTTGAAATAGCCTATAGCAGGCTGGCTATTGAAACCCTGCCCAAGCAGAGGAGCAGACCTGAGAGAGAAAGTTCTCTCTCAGGTCCGTTCCTCTGCTCAGTGGGTGGGCACAATAGCCAGCTTGCTATTGCAATTTGAAATAGCCAATAGCAGGCTGGCTATTGCTCCCAGCTGCTGATATTCACCTGTTGGCTGTGGAAGCTAGCCGGCAGGAGAATAGGGCCACCGGAGGGAAGGGGGGTGGGGCGCCACAGGGTGGTTGCTTGAGAGTTACAATTAAGTACCGTTAAGTATAATTCTCTTCCATTACCTGCAACAGAAAAGGCTTTGCATTAGGTATTAGTGATGGCTACCTAGCTCAGAGGGTTTCACCAACACTGATGATATAAGATTGTTTATCCTACAACTTCAGGGAAATGCAAATGTCCATTGACAGAAGCTTAATTCTTGAAACTAATTAAAAAGGTAGATACTTTATAGTAATAACTTCCACTACAGAGTAAACGTAAGCTTCCCATTTGTTTGTAATGTCTTTGTAAGACATAACAAGAGGCTGTGAGTGCCCCGAGGAGAGTTATGTCATGATGACTTGACTCTTCAATTAAAATCAATCCCTGTTCAAACAAAAAATCTCTTAATATATTTTAAAGATAGCTTAACCATTGCCTGAGTTAGCCCCTGTTGATTAATGTTATTTATTCTACCTGGGGTTTAACATAAACTGTGATGGTTAATGTCCCATGATAAATACACGTGTGTGTTTTTATAGTCTAAATATTAGCTTCAATCTCCTGTCTGGGCAGTTAAAATGTTTGAGAATTGGCCAACCAGTATGCACTGCTAATACTATACCCCTGGAAAATCAACAAGCAATACATCTCTTCTGCAAGAGTCATATTCTCTGCCTCATTGTGAGAACTGTTTGACATTCCCTGGTGTGTAACATGATTAACGCCTCATGGGGCATTGTGTACCTTTGAAACTTCTTAATACTTGGAGAGAAGTCCAACATTTAAACACACGGCTAGGCCGAGAGGAATATATATCAGAATAAGATGAAATAGAATACCATAAAGTCTTGAGAAATGCCAAGAGCCAATTTTAAGCTAAAAAAAAAAACAACAGCTCCGGCACGCAGCAAAATTGTGGTAAAATCACGGCAAAAATGCAATGCATTGCATTCCAGATCTGGTATGGGAAATGGTGTGATTCCAGCCTAAGTGTTATGAAAGGACATCTTCTAAAATGTTTAATTGTAAAATAAAAAATATATATATAAACACATGGTTTGCAAAGTTATACTATTTAAAAATAAACGACCAAACCCCGTTGTAGTTTTCCAATAATCAAAAGTTGGCCCATAGGACTCATGTACATGGGCCTAACTAAATGCTCACATCTGCGTTAGAACTTGCTGCCAGAAACTGTGAGAAAGATCCATCTTAAAAAAAGTGTGGAACTGTGCATAAAATACTTGCACTTCTGGATTGCCTTGAACTTGCTTCCCGCCCTCCC